AAAGTGATGTTTTCAATACGTTCAATTTCATTGGTATGGCCTAATACCCAGAAAATAAATATATTTTACCCTACATTGTTATTCATCATTGTAATATAATATGATGAATATAATTTTTCTCAGTTTAATGCAGTATATTCGCATATATATATGTATGTACATACAAAGGTACGTATATCAAAGATATACATTCATATATACAAGTATACATCCATATGAGAGAGTTAAATTTTTTCAAACTGATTCTTTATATTAATAGTAGCTGAACAGGAATGTTAAGGTTTGAGCAAGTTTCAAACTGTATTCATTACGAAATAAGGAAAATATAAGAAAAGAAGAATGTACATATGTACATATATTCACACGTGAATGCATGCTTTGCTGTAATCCTTCATATATCTAAATATATAAGCACTACACCTCGAGTATATCAGAGATCGCAAGGAGGTAATAATAAAACAAAAGCGCTAATTAAGTAAACTAAAAGCTTAACTGTCATATTTAATCTTACCCATTCGAGCTGCAGGTGCAGCCGTTTTCGAATCCGGGTCAGTTGCTGATGGTATGGTGTTTTCATAATTGGCGAGTGAAGATATAAATGTTGATACGTGTGGTCTGGTGTCCAATTCATCGTCATAAAGGTATAAGTTGGCATCGATGTTAGATTTCTCATTATTTTGCTCTACTTGAGTATTATCGCAAGGATCTTAATACAATATAAAAAAATAAATTAGAATTCAAAGGATTAGCATTTGAAAAAAGTTTAATGAAGTATTTGATGGTCAAATATATATGTGTATATAAATGTGCGCACATGTGAATAAGTTCAAGATTATATAACAATATGTGGAATTTGGGACCAGGATCGTATCTTTATTGCCTTCTTATCGATGATATCATGCACTCATCTCAAATTATGATTGAACCTTTTCTCAACACTGTAGCTATTTGTTGTTATTTTGTTTTTTGATGTAAAAAATATTCAAATTATACTTACTTGAATATTTAATACATGCCTTTGACTTGAATACAATTATTTTATATATGAATTGTATGAATTATTTTG